CGCTCGCTCGCTTACCGTCGACCCGAAGGAAGGCCGGGGTGGGTTCTTGGGCTTTTTAAAAAGAGACCGGAACTGGAGGCCGTTCTCTTTTGAAAGCCAGAGGATATTTGCTTGAGGGAGACACATGCCGAAGAAGGCAAGCGTCGCCCGCAGAAAAAGCCTGCCCTTACTGCCTAAGCTCCATCCTAGAAAGCGTGGAGTAAATGCATAACAGGAGTGCCTCTGAGCATGAGCAAAAAGCAAGGCCTGCGTCTCATCCACCAGACATTTTAGACGAGGGTGCTACTAAACAGAAGGCTCTAAACATGAAAGAAGCGTTTTTTTTTTAATGTAAGAGCCTAATCACACAGATCATTTGAATCCCTTTTCCTTCCTTTGTTCCTTTTTTTTTTTTTGCATTGGTATATTTGTATGTATAGTCACGTGATGGATATACCGGTGCTGCACATGTTCACATGGTTGTTAGGGTGTAATCACACATGCCAAAGGAACCTCGGTTATATTGATTTTGTGGTTATTTAAATAGTTTTACAGATTTCTGTTCACAGTGCATGTATATAACATGGAGTCATTTGGCCAGCCAATGGGGGGGGGGGTTTTCCACCTCACAAGCATAGCCTTTTTAAAATAACTGGATCCTTGTATCAATTCAATCCTTTTCAACTCATCCTGTGCAAATGCAGCTGTTGATTTATTTATTGTTCTACATGGCCACTGCGCTTGTACCTTTAAATATTTTTTTAAAAAAAATAAAATGCTTAGGGTGAAGGTTCATCTTTCATCCCTTGTACATACATAAACAAGAGACTCTTGTTCTGCTTTCAAACCTCCAACATGTATTTTGGGGACATTCAGAAAATTATTTAAACTAACCTTAACATTGAACAGCTCAGCTGTACCCAATGGGGCATAAAAAGGGTTCTTCTCTTGAACTAGGAAAGGGTTCTCAAGGTTTGCTCCCAATGGCCTCCTACACCCTTGGGCTCCCAAGTCCATTGACGTTGGCCCTGGGGAGAGTGGCAACAAGGCCAGCTGTTGCCCGGGTAGCCTTGGGTTCCCATGGACTTATTTCCCATGTGTGAGACTACCCTGGATCCTGGGCTGTAGATTTCATCACCCCAGGCCTAGTCATCCATCTGGCCTTCTCTCTTTTCCCCCTCTCTGTTTTGGCCCTCTCTTCTCTGATCCTTCGCCTTCAACTTCGTGCCTCCTTCTCTTCCCCAATTCAGTATGACAGTTCCTGGGAAACTGTCTTTCTCCTTCTCCTGTCAGCTTCCTCCCATGGGATCATCAGCTTTTCCCATTTATGGGTCCACTGGTTCTCAACCCAGATCCATTCCCACCCTGAGGTAAGGGCCTTCCTCTCTTTCTTTGTTTCTCTCTCCTGCTCAGGGCTCTGCCTTCCTCTCCCCTTTCTCACCCTCCTCACATATCCCCCTCACTTTTTCTCCTCCCGCTTTTTCTGTCTTCCGATCTCCATCTCCTCCTTTCCTGCCTCTTTTAACTCTCATTTCCCTTCATTCTTCTCCTTGTCTTTCTCCTCCTCCCCACTAGGGTTCCCTTGTTTTTTTCTCTCCTTCCTCTGCACCCATCTCTTCTACTTCTTTCTTAATTCCTCCTTTCCCTCAGACAGACGGACGGACGGCCCTCTGGCGGAGATGCCTTCGGATCCAACCCCAGGCTCACGCTTAGCATTAGATTGCTTACTATCCATGAAAAGTTCCTGCAGCAGCAACAACAACAACACAAACTACATTGCACAGAAGGAGACAGCTTCCCACTTCCCCGGCACCCAGTTTTTTAAAAGGAAGGAAAGAAGGAAAGGCCTGCAGGTGACATGTCCCACCCAGTGGGGCATCGACTAACAGTTGGAAGTGACAGGAAAACAGCAATACATCACTTCCAACTGGGTTTTTTTTTTTCTTTGAGAAAATTTTAAGTCAGTGGGGACTACCAGAAACAGGATGAAAATGCACTGATATATATGAGGTGGCATGTGTAGCCTACAGAACCTATACAAATAGCAAGAAATGTACCGATTGAACTCACAACTATGTGAACAGGCCCAGCAGCATATGTACCACATGACTGTATGTACATGCAAATATACAAATACACAATTTGAATCACTTCTTTCTCCCTTTTGTACAAAAAAAAGGGAGAAAGAAGCGATTCAAATGGTCTGTGTGATTAGGCCCATAGTTCTTTTTCTATACATTCGTCTTTGCATAGGCCTGGGGATTTTAATTTCTCATGTACAGTTGCATGCATTTGGAGTACACCGATTCTCTATTGCCTTGCCTGCTTTACTGCAGTAATTTTTAAGAGCTCTTGATATCTTTTGGGATGCCAGAAAATAGGAATGGGGGAACACAAAAGGGGAAGCTCAAGAGAGGCTTTCACTTTTGTAAAAACCAAAGGACCAGTTCATGAAAAATATTAAAAATGAGGCACACTTCTGTGAGGAAGTGGCGCCAGGAACTCCCGACTCCGAAGTGGTGCCCGTCCCCTCAAGCCTACGGAGGAGGATACAAAACTGTTTATAGTGTTCTTCCCACTATTCAAAATACAGAGTCGACACTTACAGGGGGAGAGAATGAGGGCGGAAAAGGAGGAGAAGGCTGTGGAGATTGAGGAGATTAAAAAGGGACTAGACTGCAGGGAAGAGGTAGAGCGATCAGAGGCACAGAAGGGAAAGAGTGAGTTGGAAGAACTGCCCATAAGGTGGGGTTGATTGGGACCGAGGGTCCCTGGACTAAAGAGAGAGTTTGTGTGAAGATACCCCTAAAAGAAATGGAAAGGAGACAGAGGAGCCAATCTTTCCCTAAACCCTCTTATTGGGGAGAGGAAGGAGCAAAGGAAGAGAGAAAAAGAAGGAGTGGCCATTCAGTTGGCAGAGCTGGAGGGGATGGAATGGATGTCCGTAATGTATCCAAAGAAGTGAGGCCCCTGGAAGAAGGAGGTGCCCCCTGGCAGAGACGTGGAGCTGGAGAAGGTGACCAAAGGCGAATGGGCTCACCATTCACATTGGGTGACACTATGTGCCAGTCAATGATCAGGAAGCCTACGGATCAGGAGAGGTTGGGTGGACACTCTTGACTATAGAAGATTTGGTGAAAGACCCTTCAAGAGAGGACTGGTTGGACTTTCCCCAGTTAATAGGCCCATTGGAACCCAGATAAGTTATTTTGAAAAAGTCCTAGTTGTGTTATAATAAAGTTTTTTGTGCGGATTGCCCTGAAAGTATTATTTGTGAAAAGGGAGAAAGAAGGTCCTGTTCTAAGCAACTTGAAGCTAATCACGCTGGCACCCAACACGGGGCGGTTCTTAATATCCCAGAACTGCCAAGAAACTAGCTACAACAGACGATGGAACAACAAGAAAAGCTGATGGAAATGTTAATAGAGCAAAACGAGATGTTGATGGGAGAACTTCCAGTAAAAGTAGACACTGTCTAGGGGGGCGGGGTATAAATCGAATGGATAAATAAATAAATAAATAAATACATGCATACATACATACATAAATACATAAATACATAAAGGCATTGGAATAGTACAATGAGAAAGATGAAACGAGAGAATACAATGAGCAGACATGATACCGGGACCTACAAAAAATACGCGGGTGATCGGACTAGCACCCATCCAAGTACAGAAGATGGGACCAGAGGATGACCCGGAAGCCCCCCTGAATACTTTTGAATGAATGACCACAGCTACGGCATGGCCAAAGGAACACTCGCCATTGTAATTAAGACCTTGCCTGACAGGAGTGTTGCAGGAGGTAGTAGCGGCACACACTAAATCTAAGAGATATATCTTATTGGAAACAATTCAGAGAACTGAGAATGAAACCGGGCATACACTCTCGACTGCTCTCACAAAGAATGAAGTCTTACATGCTAAGATGGCTGAAACCAGCTGATAAAGACCAGTTGGTGGAGCTAGTGCTTCTTGAACAGCTAGTATTGACACTTAACCATGCAGTGTGGACTTCGGTTAATAAGCACTGCCCAACCATCTTCGAGCAGGTAGTTTACCTATTGGAGGCATTTGGTACAGCAGAGGAAGGAGGAGGATATAAATGTGTGCTGCTTATATACCGCCCCATATAGCACTCAAAGCAATATCTGAGCAGGTTACAAGTTCATTATGCAGGCTACACATTGCCACCACCACCACCCACCCAGCAAGCTGGGTACTCATTTTACTGACCTCGGAAGGATAGAGGGCTGAGTCAGCCTTGAACCGCGTAGCTGAGACTGAACCCTGGGTTGTGAGCACAGTTTTGGCTGCAGTACAGCCGTTCAATCAGGATGGCTGAGGGGCCTGACGCCGAGGGAGGCCCGGACGGAAAAAACAAGAAAACGGGCCTTCTCGATGGTGGCCCCTCGGCTGTGGAACACTCTCCCAACCAAAATTCGGCTGGCACCTTCGCTGGGGGTTTTCAAAAGCCAGCTAAAAATTTGGCTATTCAAGCAGGCCTTCCCTCCAGTCAATTAAGTGATTCCTGTTTCTCGTTCTTTTTGAGTCATGCCATCTTGGTAATGTTTTCTTCGAATTAATTGTTATAATTGTAATTTTTTATGATTTTATATAGTATATGTCATATTGCCCTGTTTTATCTATGTAAGCCGCCCCGAGTA